TAATCTCCGACCAATTCTTTGACAATTAAATCTTCATTTTGAATGCGATTTAAAGTGAAGAGTAAGTCATAAGTGATGGTATCGTTGACCACAGAATCGTATTTATAGTCATTATGTTTGCGAACGAAATGTCGGATCCATTGGGCGTTTGTCTGGANTGAAGAGTAAGTCATAAGTGATGGTATCGTTGACCACAGAATCGTATTTATAGTCATTATGTTTGCGAACGAAATGTCGGATCCATTGGGCGTTTGTCTGGAGTTTAGCCGACGCTCTGTCGGCAATCAATTGGATATACTGTTGGACTTTACAGGAGGTGTAGGCGTCCAGTGATATACTATTCACATACTCTCTCATTAGTGGCACTAATCCCGGAAATTCCTGTCCGTAACCATTGATTATCTCATTGATAGTCATCTGAATATAAGATTCTTCTTCAATCTTACACTTCTTATTGGACTCATTATAATTGCAATTATTATTTAATGTATTTTGTGATTCATTTGAGCTGAAGATGTCTTTTCTGAACCAGAATTTAGATCTATTGATGGCATCCCTTTTCTGGCCTTCACTCATATTCTCATCGACCTGTTTATTACAAAATTAAAAATAAATATATAATAATATTTTAGTAATAATTTAAGGAATTAAAGAATATTCTCGTACTTTAGAGATAGGAATAATGAAATTAAGTTTATATTTCAGTATAACTCGTGACAAAAGTACGACAAACACAGCATAAGCCGCGTTCTCGAAGTCAGTCATCTGGATCTCCATCGGACGGAACTCCACTCTCCAGCCAATGGACGGTTGGTTAGTCGGCGGCGGTTTAAACCTCATTGTCTGCCAATTGGTTGACTGAATGTTCTCGAAGTGATCGCAATCTGTTTCATCGATTTGATCCAATTTCTCGCGATATGTAATCGTCGGGTCTCTTATGAATAGGTATGCGATGTGTTGGGCCAGAGGTTGTGGGACTCCAGCATTAATCATCTCATCGTAATACTCCTTGTTATACACAATAGGATTGTCATTATATTTAGCATTAGATTCACACAAATATGTGTTAATGGGAGCGCATCGGGATTTATGAATTCTGTATTTATTATGTTTAAGTGGTCTTTCGCCCATTTCTTCATGTGTGCGATCGTCCATTGAATATGAGCAAGCATCATATCTACAATCCTTGTCTGATAAATAACCTCTAAATATGGGAGTGGATGCACTCAATACCATCATAATAGGGGTCAAAGGTGTCAACTGATCGTTCATCACAAATGCCTCCTCTATACTGGTCGCCTGCATTGTTACCTAAATACCAGAGAAGCGGTTTAATATCAGTCATTATATTTACGATTAATAGCATTTACCTGCAAACAAGAACATCCCATTCCCAGCACCGGTGCGTCCAAATAGATGTGATCGGCTTTTGCCGCTCTATTCGACTCCTTATCATTGAATAACTCAATGAAAGGGTCGGCAGTATTGGTATCTTTGAAAATCGGGATATTAATGGCTATTTTACGACCCCTGCGCTGAACTATATTATAACCGGTCTTCACATATCTCGGGTGAGCGCTGTTTGTCAAGTCGTCCGAAACAAATATACTGCCCGTCGAGCTGTTCAGAGGGTCCGGTGAGCTGTGGGGCACAGTCACGTCATCGCAACCTAACCTGTGGTTTGATTTTTGTATAAAATTATTAAAACCTAAGCCGGTTTAGTTAAATAAAATGTTCAACTAACCTGGGAAAGTTTGACAGAGCGATCAGTGCCTCGTCCTCTTCCAGCATATCTCTCATATCCCGACGCCTTTCCCTCATATTGTTCTCCACGTTATTATACAAATTATTCGCTGACTTAATGCCATTTCCTTCGTTATTATGTCCGTACGGTTGTCCCGGTGTGGCCTCAATCATAAAACTTCCGTATTCTGGTCTCCACAGCACCTGTCGATTCGCACCCTCCCGTTCTTCCCTCTCATACATAACCTCCAGAATATCTTTTGGCTTAAGACTTAAGCGAACTTTTTGGTAGTTGTGGTCAAACTTGACGATCACGTACTCGATCTCATCGCCCCATTTGAAGCACCGGTCGATTCTGTCTTTGTTTTTGTTGTAGTTATGAATGAATTGTTTGATTCCGTGTCGGCGCACGTGTTCCGCATATTTCCTATTATCAGGGTGATCCAGAGGCTCTCCTATTGTTAATAAACCCATTACTTTATGTTTAGTCAAATTGTAATTAAATAGCAATTAAAACTTTTACTTTTCAAACTGATTTATTAAAACATGTTCAGATCCTTTTTATACAAAATGTTATATGAATTTCATATTGAGTCGAGTTTTCAATTTAACGATTACTTATTAGTCGATAACAATTTAATCACAAAATTATCAAAGTTGCAGACATATTGAGTGTATTTTTGTAATTAAGACAAACCAATCAAATACACAAATGTATTTGAACTTAATTTTATAAATATAATTACAAATCTAAATCAATTTGTTTTAGTGATTATTATATTAATTATGAAATTTCAATTAATATAACTTACACATCCATCTAAATTATCTAATCGATGATTGTAAAATAATACAATTTAAACCAACACCACCGGGGTTGCCCCTGACTTTACCCTTCATTCAGTGCCTCTGAACATGTAATCTTCATATTTGATTCATTACATCAGTTATTTCATTAGTTTGCTATTAGATAAATTGGTGGCCAGACATGTCATACAAGTTATTTATACATTTAAACTAATTGTTTTCAATTTAAGTTTATTTACTATAATTAATAAGCAAAATATATTAAATATTAGTTATGTATTAAATTTATATAGAATAAATTCCACATTTTATCCATTTATTGCAAGTTAGACTACACCTGAGTTTATTATATTTTAAGATTAAACTGTGTACCCTGCTATTTCTTAATTAATACATAAATATTAGATAAAGCACTCAGAGTACATTGGGTTTTGATTATGTAAGTATATCAATCATTACAAAACACATGACATTCTAGCAATTACTTTAAAAACTGATTTTTAATTATACAACAATTATACAAAATAAATGATGAATTTAAACTAAAGTGCATTTCATTTGCAATGTGTATTGAGGTAGTCATCCAAAGAGGGAATACCATTATCTTCCATGCCTTCAGAAATACAATCAATATTAGTATCCCTTAATGTTTGCCAATCACTTTCTTTAATATTCTTGAGATGTGGTAAAC